TAATCTATCTGATTTTATTTGCTAACATATCACACAGATTTAAACATTTCTCTCGCACTCAAACGTCAGTACCGGTTGCCTACCGGTCAAAATTTTTATAAGAATGACCGGTCAACCGGTCGGTCCGGTCCGGTCTGCATATGTTCACCGGTAACCGGTGACCGGCCGGTACCGGTTATGATTTTGTTGACCGGTTGCATCTCTGCCGTACACCTAATTCCGAACACACTGTCTTTTTTTCCTTATGTTCGGAGATCGTAACGAACACCGGCACCGGAAGATCATAATGATAAGTTGGTGCGAAATGTCCCTTTCTCTTCGGGTCAAATTACTTCTATAATGTAGCTTCAACTAAGTATTGGTACAAAACGATTGCGATAAAATTTTTAATCTCATTTTTACGTCTACATTCAACATTATTCCGATGTTGCATTTAAATTAATATGAATTACCTAAGCTTAATGAAAATCTATGTTATATCAGATTTTGGCTTTTTTTTCAATTAGAAAAATTAGAAAATTCATTACTGAATATTAGAATTTTATCAAATTAATTACTTGTTGTGTTGAGAAAAAAGGCATTGATGGAACCAGAGGCAGTTGACATTTGAGTATTTGTATTGGATGAACTGGAATCCTGATTTATCATATGCTACTTTAAATAAGTTATTCAGGAAATATATAATAATAAGTACTATGAATGGAGAAAAATTAGCTTACTGCCGAAGTTTGATCATTCATTGAACTATACACTTGATCAACCATAGAGTATTGATGATTACGTTTATCACACTGAAATGTTAACAGAATAATCAGAAAGAACCGTAATTATTGGGAAAAAAAGTTTACTTGTTGTTTATTCATTTTATCATCTGTATGAATAATATCATCACAGTCATCATTAATTGATGTATTTGCATTCATACTAGTTTTTGAAGAGGCAATCATTGAAATATGTCATCTTCTGTATTGGTAAGAAAGTGACCCATATTCTAAGCATGAGATAAAAATTCAAATGTCAATATAGTTCATGGATTAACCATACTTATGAAAGTTATATTATTTATTTAGTTTTTTTTTATCGAACGCGAGAAATTCATAGGGTGTACCATTACTCGATAGTGGTTCAAATCATTTCCTTACGACACAGACAAAAAATATTCATATTCAGAAAACAATTTCTCTGTGAAACTTTTCCACATATCTTTTTAAAAATCGTTTTACCATTTACGGAGCAGTGTTGGATAATATGAGGATGTGCATGAAGATAGTTTTTTAATGGTGCAAGAGTAATTAGTTGACCTATATCGACAGTCGAATAAGTTGGTCGAAGTTGGTGAATATTAGGATTAAACTTGTGGAGATGTTGGTTCATTTTATTAACTTCTGTGAAATCAGAAAAATCGAGTGGAGGTAATTTAATGTGATAATCGAATGGACGACTAGTTGATGTTTTGACACCTCTCGGAATTCTGATTAACAAATTCAAATCACATAATTGATTAATAGCTTTTTCTCGTTCGTCCTTCCATTTGGAGCTATATGAAGAAATTTGACATAAGGTAAAACCAATATGTTTAAATTGAAGAATTTTTTCAGTAATGCTTCGCACGCGGTCATCCATTGAAGATGATTTCTTTAACTTGCTTCGTTTTGAATAATGTTTATCATTAGAAATGTAAACATCCATTTCGACTTTATCCAAATTTTCTTCTTCATATAGATCTGATGAATTTGTATGGTGTCGTTTTCGTTGAACTTCACCTCCATTTCCTGGTGAAATCATAACAGATTCAGTAAAGTTGGTTTGTTGCTGATCACCGTCGTCTGTTGAAGATGGAGAAATTTCTTCATCATTGACCATATTGTGTGGCTTTCTAAAAATTAAATCCTTTTATCAAATACTGTTATAATCTATAGATGTTTGTTTCCTATCTATTCTTAAACTAAAGACGTAGCTGCTGGGCGCCGTGATATTAATCAGCTTAGAATGTCCAAATTCTGTGAATTCGATTTCTTGAAATGTATAGACTTGCTTTTCAGGGATATTCGTGTCAAAAATCAATCAGTAAAGTGCTGCAATTTCTTTAAAAATTTAAAAGTTACACACAAATTTATATTTTGAAGAGAGAAAAGGAAAAATAATTGTATAAGAGACTTACTGAGATTTTTCAGATGATGATGTTGGTTTCATTATTAGATTAAGATTGTTTGTATTCACCGACGAATTCGAACTCCAATTCATGTGATTGTACACTATAATAAAATGAAGTATATATTTTATAAAGAGAAAATATTTAAAATAAGTGATACAAGATTTTCTTTATCATCCGCCATAAAGTCAGAGTATAAGGTTGATTCTTATCTCAATAGTTTGGTAGATATTATCAGCAAGAGAGATAAAAAATAACTTTTAAAATATTTGCTAACCTTGTTAATCCGTAACCGGAAAAAAAACACTCGTATTGATTAATATTCATTAGCACTGTATTAATAGCTGATTGAACTACTTGAAAATGAATATCAAGTTGAACGCGTTCTGATAAATGGATTCGATTTAAAAATCGATTTGCCAAATCAATCATTCGAAGCCGAAATATATTATCAGCTTTGTGATCATTATAATATTTGTATTCGAGGTAATATTGATCAAGCAAAATGAATGCTAATTCAACAGGTTGAATATTGGCAGCTAGTCGATAAGTATGTTCTCGTGATTTGCCGAGACGGTTATTGATCCATTGGTCACCATTTTGATTCGAGTAAACTAGAAAAAAGTGAATAGTAGATGATAAAAAGAAAAAACCTATTTTATTTGTTGATGTTGTCGGGAAACTCTCTTTCTCAGGAAAGATCCAATAAAAAAGAGACAAAAACAGATTAAAAAAAGTGTGTTTTCAATCAATATCTGAAGGATTCGTGTATGAAATTTTAGTCTAAATAAGGTTGACTTTAACAAACTCCGTCAGATTTTAAATTTATCTGCACTTTTAACTCTTTTTCAGTTGATGTCAAATCTAAATATGTAACATATTTAGATTTTTTCCACTATTTAAATATTTTCTATATATGGTATATCTCTTCTAACTACCAGAGAAGCAGACAATCAGATAATCTCAGGCATTCCAAATTAATATTTGAATACTCTCTATAGATGGTGTATCTCTTGTAACTATCAGAGAAGCAGACAATCAAATAATCTCAAGCATTCTGTATTTACCTTTGAATATTGTGCGTCCCAAGCAAAAACGACCCAATTTTTTGGGTTATTCATCTAGATTCAGCTCCACGTGCATCTAGATGTACGTGGACCTGAAGACTTTAGCTTCTTACTAGCATGCCGTTGCTGATGAGTGGTTGAATGGATGCGGGGGAGGGGGGAGTGGGTGCTGAATGTGAGTTAACTAGTAACATTGCACGCGCTAGATTTGCCGGTTTTCCATAGGAGCGACTGTTCTTCACAGTTATGATAATAATTTTGCACAAGCTTTCAATTTTTATTGAGCATTTCTGAGACTCGAGCTGGAGAAAACTAAATTTCCCATTTTTTGTTTTCTAGAGTCGAATTTCTAAAAGCCAGTCTTCACAAAAACGAAAGCGTTTTCAAGAATTTCAGTCTGAAGATCGGGCCCACCAAACAAAAATTAAATTATCTAATTCGTCACAAAAATGTCTGTCGCATGACTTTTTCATGCTCTCACTCAACTTTGTTGAACCTGATCTGAGCTTAGTGTAACTGAAACGGTGTGGTGCCTACTTAGTCATCAATTTAGTTAGACTTCACATAAACTTACTGATAGTGTACGATTTTCGAACATGCGCTCATTCTTTTCAATCCAGCTAAGCACTGTATATTCGATTCAGTTGTAGTTGGACATTGTAGACTGCCCATTAATGTTACACTTTCACCTGCTGCATGCCATATATTCTGGTAGTTGTCGTCGTAGTACCATGAGTTGAGAAAGAAAACTTTTGCTTGTAATTCCATATTTGCACGTTCAGTGCGTATTTTTTCTGCCTGTATTTGACGTTGTGCATTTGTTGTATTAATTCGATTTATAATTGCTTGTTTCAAATTTGCTTTTACTGTCGCATCTTTCACTAAATCATACCACGGAATGTATTTGTTAATTGCAAGTAGAGCCGGATTGTAGGCAATTGTTTTTTGCCACGCAACTGTATTATTACTGATGGTTACATCTCCTCCGACTCGATGATCCAATAATTTCTTACGTCTTAACCAGTAGTAATGATCAAGACAGGGGCGTTTGTATAATAATTCTTGTTTTAAATTATATTCGAGTGAGGAACGAGTTATAGGTCGTTTATCATTGGAAGAGAGTAAACCCTCTGTAAACTCAGTTCGATTCATTATACAACTTTTAAACTGAACTTGTTGTTCAGTCATACCACCAACTTGATTTGATACGGTTACATGTGTGCCCCATGCATCTAGAAAGCTGTCGTACAACGCTGCATCATACTTCGACGTCAACATATCAACTGCACGTTGAGCAAAATGATTTAATTTCGTTTTATCATCTGGTATACTGATGGTATACATTACTCTTAAATCTTGTAAAATTGATATTGCTTGATTATCTTTAAAAAACTGATTGTAAACGTCGGATACGGCTTTCCTACGTGCAAACTCGGCACCGGTCCAACTACCAGCTTCATTACCACGTAGCCAAAAACCAAATAATTCGTTTTCTGTATCAAATATACGTACACTAATGTTGTTATCATTAGATGATGGTGGGTCGACTTTTACTTCATCTGGCACATAGAATACTTGTCCAGATTCTGGATCTGTCCATGTTGTACTCGTCTTCTCACTTATTTCCAATGCTGGTAATAGAATATCACCCGTACTAATATCAATAGCCATACCAACACTCTTTGGTAATGGCAGTAGCACAGAGGATAATAATTGACGTGATTGAATTGAATTTGTACGATTACCACCGGGACAAAAACTTCCATTATAACCAATAATTGGGCATAAGGCAGACCGTGCAAGTTGTAATCCAGACAAAAATGGATTTGTTGTCTCTCTGTGTAAAGTAGGTGACATAATTTTAAGACATTTTTTGTTTTGGATATAAATATATCTATGTCACTGTTGGAGATGAAGACCTCATTCTTTTAACAATATGTAGCCAGAAACTCGGACTATTTATCAAATAAAAATGCTTGATATCAGCTTCCTATGGAATGCCTTTTCTCGGTACTTTCCGCGAACGTTAGAGCCGTTTTTCTGGTTTTCCCAGCGGAAATAAGCAAAAATCAGAAAATTCATAACGTGGCTAAGGCATCGGTTAAGTTTGCAATAAACTGTCTATAAAATCGTTAAGTTTCGTTGTAGGAAAGCACCATGGGTACGAATCCTTTTGGGGTACTTTCTACCGCAATATACGCCACCGATCAGCATAGGAGACGCTGAAATCGGAGTTGCTCACCTGAAGAGCTTCCTGGGTAAGCTTTTTTTGGACAGAAGACACACGGATTTTGTTCAGTTTTTGAGACTCTTATCAACACAGTACTTAGCATTCAACGTGAAGCGGTTTTCAAAGTTAAACCTAACTTTTCGCCATCACCACTAAAGTAGAAGTCAAGTTATGTGGTTTGGTGCTAGAACAAAAACTTTATGCAATTTTCTATCTCTTGAAGTTCTGCATCGATGGGTTTAATTTTCATCTCTCCTGAACACAATGTCTAAATGAGAAAATGCAAAATATCAAAAGAGTCTGCTGGAGCAAAAATGTTTTCACTACAGCTTCGCTAAAGGAAGCTGATATAAAGTATTTTTATTTGATAAGTAATCCGAGTTTTTGGCTACATATTGTCAAAAGAATGAGGTCTCCATCTCTAACAGTGACAGATATATTTATATCGAAAACAAAAAATGTCTTAAAATTGGTTAAAAAACCTACTTCACACTACGTTTCTTCTTCTTCTCCGTACAATTCATTTGGGGTAATTCCGGTGGACTGGTTTCTGACTGTAGACGTTGTATGTACAAGTTGGCACTGTTGTCCATCGATGATCGGAAATAGAATGTTGCTTCTTCCATTGCCGTACGTTTTTCTGTGTGCAATGGTAACAATGTGTAGATCGGTTGAAGAGTATATGTAACTGGTTTTGGATCATCTTTTATTGTTGGCATCCAGTCTTCGATAGTTTTCAATGGTATAATGTCGGTAGCTCCGCCAATGATTTTAAATATGGATAGCGAATTTTGCTGATATTCTTCACTAACGTTTCTATCATAGGTTTCTTCTATTTTTCTAGTACTAAAAAACCAGTAACGTTTAATAATTTCTCTGCGCACCCATGTTTCAGTCATTTTCTTAATCAGGCACGATTCAAAATAATCTTCGCCCCAGAACATTCCACCAATATCAGCACGGACAACAAAATGTGTGCCGTAAGAGTCAAAGAAGAATTTCCATTTTTGGACATTATCCGTTGAATTTGAATCAAACGTTGACGGCAGATGATCAATTGTCAGGCGTGTAATGGCATTCAGTTTTGGCGTTGGAAATGATGCTACGGCCAGCGTAAACCAAATAGCCTGCCGTTTTGTCCATGCCATACGATATTTGTGTGTGTAGAATCGACTATACTTTGTCCTTGTATCCTGTTTATTTGTTGATGCACCAAAACCTAAAAATCCCGATGAATCGCGACGAGTGAAAAAAGATGATTCAGTGATGAATTGTTTGTATGTGTCGAAGAATGCCGTGTCTGACATTGATAATAGATCTTTTGTGCCTCTGACGAAGTAACCGTCCGGTACTTGATATTCCATTCGATCATTGAACACATCGATCCATGTTTCATTATCATTTGTGGATAAATCGAATAGACAAGATTTACTGTCCAACGAGAAAATATCGTAACCACACCCGATAACATCAATTCCTGGAATTAGTTCCATATCACTATCTCCAATTAAACTTCGTCGTCGTCGTTTTCTACCAGCATTACGCAACTGTTCATAACTTGGTACTTGTCCATTTTTTAGATAATAATCGATGGTTAATTGTAAATAACGACGAATTCGGATATCCTTGTCGTACAATAAGTTTGTGATCGATGACATTGTACGATTGATAACTGTTGGTGTTTTCGCTGTTTGATTCATCCAAATATCTAACGAAATATTCTTTGGTGCTGAAGTATCGATAATGGCAGGCAGAAACTTGACTTCCAGTTGTGAATTTTGACGAAAAGTTTCACTGGACACATCTATTACTTTATCATATCTTTTACTCGCTGACATTTGTGCTTCTTCAAAGCTGAATTTAAAACCAATTTGTTCTGAGACTGCAAACTTACTGTATTCCTGTTGAAATTTACTTGTCACTGAGGTAAACATGTCAACTGTACCGCCAACAACGACAGATGATATATAATGAGTACCGAACGATGTTATCAGTTGATTATAAAAGAACTGATCGGTTTCACTCAGTGGGTTAGCAGCTAGTTTTGAAATGGTAAGATTAAATATTGGATCGTACCTAAAGAAGGTTTTAGACAGAGTGCAGACTGTGAGACGCTCAGATCTGGCCCAGCTGGCAAAAATTTCTGCTTGTGATTCAAAAATTTCCCGTCACAATAGCTGATGCTCAATCCACGACATATTTCACAGTTTTATGGTTTTCTACTAGGATTTTCTCCAATGTTTTCTTACTAGCAGAATCTGTGGTTTTCGACGGCTCACTCAGGAAAGTTCCCTTGTAGCAAACAGCAGACTGTTCCAGAAGCCGGTTTTCTGGAAAATTCTTGGAAACCCCCTTCAGCAGCACATACAGCGTTGATATTGGGAATTACCATGTCACTAACCTATAAAAATGTGTATATGTTTCGAGTGTACAGCGATAGTACAGTTGGATCGATTCCACCGTCAGTGCATTTATGAAGATGCGATGCGAAGCACGTGTGAATCAAGGTAGAAACAGCTGATTTTTGAGCTTAAAAAGTCGGTTTTAATCGAAAATCGCGTATGATTTTATCTTTTTTTTCTTTGCTTTCACTATGTCTGATTCATATTTTGTACAAATAATGCAGGTTCTGCACTATTTATCGCAGTCTCTTTACTTGATTTCCCAAACAAATCACAGGACATCGGAAAAAATCGATGAAAATCGGTGGAAATCAGGGAAAATCGGAAAAATCCAAAAATCAGCTGTTTCCCCTTGGTTTGAACACATACAAGAGGACCTTGGTGATTATTTTTTAGTAGCTAAAGTAAAAGAAACGCAGAACACATACGTCAATATAAATACTGGTGCTAATGTAATTGAAAACAGGCCCCACCAATCAGTTGACATACCAACAGCTGCTTGATCTTTTGTTATTTTCTGATATACTTCACTCAATGTACTATGATAACTGAGTGCAGCGTTTACCGGTCCAGCTGTAATACCAATATCAAATGAATATGAACGAAAGTAACTGGAAAAAAAGAACAAAAGAAATTTTTTCTTAAATTTCAAACTGTGTACGTGATTTCTTCACTGACCTGTGGAAGAATTCTTGATATGTATAGGAAACGCTTTGAACACTGACTGTACTTCGCATATTTATACGTGTTACTTGTACAACAGACGGAGTTTGAAATTTGGATTTGATATTGTGTACATTTAACGTGAATGGATAACCATCACGATCCGTTATCAAATTAAACACACGAAATCTTGAACGATCTGTTGATTCGACATTTTCATTATTCGATATCATTTTAATTGCATCGAAACCAGATGCAAGAAAATCCAGGCCAGGAAGATCTGTTGCTACTGCTGTTTTTTTTGTGATCCCCAGTAGCAGCAACAACAGCACATTCAATAAGTAACGCACCATTGTTTCTCTGAAAAAAAACTCCAACAGTTAACTGAACTGAAGAAGGTGAGAATAGTTTTGATAAAACTTAACTTTAATTAAGTACCACCTACCATCGTCGATTAAAGTTAACTAAATATTTTTATTATAACAGCTATTACTTTTTCATTCACATATTTATGCATGAATATCTACCGAGGACTCTGCGTCACTAAAAGGAAAATAAGTTATTAACAAGTCTGGCAACTGGGCTACCCCCAAAACCACTTCCCCCTTAAATACTTGCTTAAGTATTTATTTTAGAGAAACAATACCATTCCCTTCCTTTTTTCTGATGTCATGATTCATTGTTTATTCAGGTAAAATTTCAATAACCAGTAAATAGTTTTGGGTTCAAGTAGTTTACTTTCTCTAAGCACTCATTGAATTAGAAAAAAAGACTAATCCAATTTTATTAATTGACTCATTCTATGTGCAAGCTTGAATAACAACCGTACAAGCTGCAACAGTCCGAAGAAAGAAAGAAAAATTATTTTGAAAATTGGATGATTAATTACGGTTTCTTCTACCTGAATAAGTTTGTTAGAAAAAGGGAGTACGTTTTTTATGTACTTTTTTCTTCTTCTTCATAAAAAACAAAACAAAATAGAAAACCAGTAATCATGGCATCAGTGGGAAGTGCGTCACTACACAGTTCCCCTTTTTGCCCTGTAGTTTTCCTTATAAATACAGTTACTAGCCCACACAGCCGTGAAAAAACAGGATTACTATTCTGATTGGTCTCAGCTTGTGTTGAGCATTTAGAAATTTATAGATCGGAAAGATGTTTCTACTAAAAAGATTTGAAACATGTGTTCCTAGTTAGAAAAGGTTTTTTGCTCTATGTGTGTAGTAGAACAGAATTTTATCTACAGTAGGTTCCAGGCTACAGAACTTAAGAGAATTTTGAATCTACTGGCTTTCTACGCAACGAGCATTTATACTATAGAATTTAACTCTCCTTTTCTTTTTTTTAGAATGTCTCTACTGCTGTTACTGTCTTTATGCTTCGTCTCGTTAATATCAGTGTCTTATGAAGATGGTGATATATTTAATCTAAAATCTGCACGTACGGCACTATGTCCAATTGTCGGTTTTCATGGAATATTTTGTCCTGGTGATGCTAGTAGTGGAAGTCCTACTGGTAAAAAGCTGAAACAATCAATTTCAGCACAACAGCCCGTGGAATTACCAAACAGTGTTGGCATGGCTATTGATATTAGTACTGGCGAGTTACTACTACCCGTACTAAAATTATCAAAAGGTAGTAAGCAATGGACTGATAAAGAATCTGGCAAAATATTTCTTGTGCCACCAGAATTAACACTAAGAGAATCTCTATCTAACAATGAAGAAAATAAAGTTATAGTACGTATATTTCAAACAGAAAATGATTTAGTTGATATTTGGTTAAAGAATGCGGAAGCTGGTGGATGGACTGGTGGACAACTGGCCAATGTACAAAACATTTCTGATGTTTACAAAACTTATTTCTTTGATGATCAAGTAATGGCCATAACACAACAATTTAAAGTTCTTTACACAGTATCATTTACCGATAGTCAAAACCTGGAACTAAATAAATATGCACAAGGAGCTGTTGATGTCCTAACATACGATTTTGATGAAAATCTGTACCAAAGTTTTCTTGATGCATGGGGAACACATGTGACTGTGTCAACAACAGTTGGGGGAATGAATGAACAACAAACGTTGTTAAAAAGTTGTATTCTACATACAACAGACGTTAGTGATGGTTTGACGAAAACAGTCTTAGAAGAGAATCTTAAACAAGAATTACTGGAAAAACAGCCGTGTATTGATCTTTATTATTATTTACGACGTAAACGTTACTTAGACCATCGTATCGGTGGAAATATTTTGTTGATTAACAATAATACCGTGGATACAGATGATAATCAGTGGAAGAAGACAATTATTCAGGATCCAGCACTCTTATTAGTTGAAAAATTTGTACCATGGTACGATTTAGTGCAAAACAAGAGAATTAAACAAAATCTGAAACAAGCAGTTGATCTACGTATTAATCGCGTCAGTCTAATACGTCAGCAGCAAGTACAACAAATCCGTGATGAACGTCGAAGAATGGTGCTAAAAGCCAAGGTTCTCCTGCAAACAAATAGCTATGAATGGAATGTTGGAGGCGATATTGAATTGAAGACAGCTGACACATGTACAACGCTGTTAGATAATACACAACTGGCAGCCAAATGTGGTACAGGTACAATGATGAGTTCATGTGCATTGGCTTTAACGGATAATATTGAAAAGAATATTTATATTGAGACAGGAAAAGTACCGGTTTGTTATGAACGAAACAACGTGACGGGAGCATTTCGTCTTGTTGCAAGACGTCAGTATGGCCGAACAAATGATACCATTCGTACTGGATTTCAAAGTAAGTGTTTTATTTTTCAAAAATATTTAAACTTTACCTCCATGATGTTTTTATTTAGATTTTGATGTCAACGGTGAATGGATGGAAAGTGGGGGTTGTTCAAAAATCTCTGATAAATGTGATTTATACAGCGGCTCAGACGATGTTTATCTCTGTTCGGGATGCAATGTACAGTGTGAAACAAATCAAAATCAACGACAAGTTAACTGTAAATGTTCATGTCCAACATATCCAGTTGATCCGGAAGCTAAACCATACTTACGCTACTGTTAGAGAGTGTTAATTACTTTTATAGAAATAAAATATGATTAATATTTATCTCAAAAACTAATCAGCTTTAAATATAATGAAAATCAAAACTGACGAATGGAGAAGAGAGAAATTTCTTTCGTCTTCTCCAGAATCGAATGGCGCAGCTTTACATAGGCAGACATATTGTTTCTAATCTGCGTCTTAATTGCTTTTAAAATAGTGCTGAGATTAAATTTCCATTACTGCTGTAGTTTGTGATCTTCTATGATTATTCAAAGAGCTCACAATCGTAATAGTGTATCTCTAAACAATTGCAATTCTCTCCCTGTCTTTCTCAGCCAAACTTCGAACTGTACACCTTGAACCTGTATTATATTATAATTAGTTCGAAGAGCAGCGAGTCTCAAAATAACACGTTCGCGAAAATCAATAAAATACTACAATAGTGGCATAGACCTTTAATTCCCTATACTACCTATTTTGCTCTGACCAATATAGCTCTTGTTGGATTACCTTTTGTATTCCCCGTTTTCCAGTGACGTTCCAGTGTGGCCATGGTCTCCTATTTGGCTTTCAAGTCATATAATCGGCAGTGATCTTCTAATAGGGGATGGTCTGTTATTAGGAGGGGAGAGGGGATTGCTGCGTTAATTAAAATAACCAACTACGGAAGGATCTCCAATGTTAAATATCTTTAAGACGGTATTAAAGTCAATATCATCAGTTAAATCATATTCTCTTTAGGGATTCAGTTTTTTGTTCTATGAATAAACATGATTTATCCATATAATATAATAGTGTATTAGACTATTAGACCAAACATTTTCGTCCGTGATGTGGTTATACCTGGCTTGCTGTTATTGTTCTGAAGTACACACGCTCAGGTTGAAATTGTGATCCGATGAAAAAATTCTAATATGAAAATAAAGTCCTTAGAACTTATTCTCCCTTGGAAGAGAAAAACAGCTGATATATTAGAGAAAGAATGGCAAACTAATCTAGGACCTTTTTTAGCAATTTAACTATATTTCTTTTTTTGATCAAGTTGTCACAACATGTAATGAGCATAGCTGGATTTGTTGATTTTAATAAACCTAATTTAAACCAAAATAACCATTAAGAGAACCACGAGTACAATTTTGATGACAAACAGTTTGGGTCATATATCAATCCATTCATATCAGTTACTCCTAGTAGAATGACTAATGTAAACAATGGAACTTGTTCGATTAACTAAGATGAATGTGATCGTTCTTCGCTCTATGTGCAAGTGCTACATGATATTTTTTGACTAATCGATCATTCGTCTCTTCACTTGTCGAGTTTCCTCTCTCATTTTCTCTCATTAAAAATTGCCATGATACTAGAAGTAAAAGTGAGAAGATGTGCTGTATTGGTTAGACCGTTGCGAACTATAGTCCATCCAACTGAGTCGGCCAAATTTTATTGCAGTCAACGTTCACTATTTCAATTTCTTGTAACGCATCTTCTAACTATTCAAAGTAGAACCTGTAGTTTTCTTGACTTGCGGTTACGAATTTCAGGCTCACCTGTTTATAGCGTTCTTCATAGGCTGAATCATCATCTATTTAGTCATATGCCGTTAGTATTCGTTAATCAGTAAACCTTTCCAGCAGCTCTATTTTCGGTCGACTTTCGATCAATCTATGTTATAGATCTAAATATAAACCTAAATAATGTTCTATCTTGTTCATTTTATTATCAGATAAGTAATAAATTCGAAATAATCGCATAAAAACACACTTAGAATTCAGCTATTTACGACATTCAGATGAAAAAGTAATGACGTCAATAGCATGGCGAAAACCGAAGCTCGCTAGCTGCTTTCTATCAAACGTTATTCAAAAATATCCATTGCTCTTGTATTTTTTGAAACGGATAGTAGTTTTCTTTGCTTTTTCACTTTGAATAACATCTATATCACACGTAGCGATCGAACGATTAACTGATTGTATAAGCATAGAAACAGGTTTAATCTAGCGAATATTCCTGTCCGTAGCTATCTTCATGAAACATAAAAACACTGCAGTGTATGCTTGAGAAACACGTTTCTGACTATACAAACAATAGCAAAAGAGAACTTGAAAAAAATACCTTGACATAGAATAAAGAATCAGCAATATATACAAAAAACGTCTGAAAGAAGTTAAATTTAAAAGTGCTAATAAATACATGATTTATTGTAGTTTTTTTTCCGTTACATATTCGTCTAAAATGAACGGTAAATGAATGGCATATAAAGTACTGCCTGTGAGAATAACTTCGTCAGCTGCATGTAATATTCCTTTTGTTATTTTTTTTTAAATATCGTCCCACGGCACATCGTCGATGACCATTTATGTAACACCAGCACTTCATTCCTGCAAGCATAAACGGAGAAAAATGGCATGATAGATGTAAGCAGAAGGAGGCGTATGGCTTGCTTTTAAACTAAAACTAATTGAATGAAACTTATACGACCCACATAATCTTGCGAAATCGGTTTTTTCTAAAAGAACAAGATGTTTTATTGAAAGACTCCAAAGGATATGTTTATCCGAAGTCATCCCTGTAGCTGCCAAGAGCATGTCTTGCCATTGATATGAGTCCCGTCTTTTTTTCATTCGATTCGGAACCGAAAGTTACAGAACAACAGCTCATAACATTATTCAACGTTTAGGGCATCTGATATACTCATAACGAGATGGCTAATCAAATTATTGTTAGAATCGACTGACCGTGTTAAAAGTTTTGATGTTTATCGATGTTAATTTCAAATTCTTTCGCTTTTTCTGTTCGGTTTCAAATAGGTACAGCATAAGATACTATTCGAGTTCATCATTGTCTTCTTTACCGCATCCAGTTTCAAACAATTTTAGATAACAAAAGTTTGCTAAGAAGCAAAGAAAAATACTGTAGTCAAACGTAAGATAACTGTTTTGCTGTTTTTTCTTACTTCTTCTAGAACATGATCTTCGGGGTATACAGGATTTACTTTCCGACGATTGTACTTTGTTTTAATTAGCGTTTTTCCTATAGAAAAGAAGAGATTTTTCGCTATAATGGATTTACTTTCCGATAATTAGATAAAATATGTATACTGATTAAGCAGTCTGACATATACGGGTTTGCTTTTCGTTGATTTGAAAAAGGTATACAATTAATGTATCAGTCGACGTATCGATATCAGAAATGATTTGGAAAAGTTATACAGTTAAGTAGTCAGTTGGCTAATGATTGTTCTTCCTAGAGGGAATCTGAGTAATAGTCAAAATGCTTGAGCTAATGGAAATGAATACTATTCTGTATATTTAAAATAAAACAGAAACATAGGATCAAAAAAATGAAAATCAATTGTACAAGTTTCATCTGGTAAATGGCCAAGATGATTTAGTTGCCTTTTTACCATGAGTAGATTCATCGAATTTAGCATTTTTAATATTTTTAATCAACGGAAAGTAAATCCGTATATGTCAGACTGCTTAATCAGTATACATATTCTATCTAATTATTGGAAAGTAAATCCATTATAGCGAATTTCTTTTCTATAGGAAAAAAGCTAATTAAAACAAAATGCAATAATCGGAAAGTAAATCCTGTACACGGATCTTCGGTTTCTAAATGTAAATTTAATTTCATATTAAATACAATACTAGTATATTTCAATCGATCATAAAAAGCAATCTGGTTTGTTTCCATGTATTATGATAAATGATTATGTAACTTCATACTACTATCTTGAATACCAATCATATAAATTTGGCAGGCACTCATTAGGCAATTCCCTTTTCCGTAAAAAACGAAAACTTTTAATCAATTTACAAGAAATACAGCCTTTCATATTCTGAAGATCTGTAACTTACAGTTGTATGCACAGAATACAATGGTTTTACTTTATCACACCAATTAATCACGTTCACTGTTTCCAAACTTTTTTGTCCTTGAAGCAAACTCTTTCCAATCGTTTTCATAATATTATCATGTATATTTAATGTTGTTGTATATATAGCTGACGTTAACGAGTCCGAATCTAATGATACAAATGTTTCTAAATTTCTAACGATTTCATCATTACGAAATAAATCCTGGTATTCGACGAACGTGTACAAAACCAAATCTTAATACATTTTAAACGACAAAGTTGAACTTTATCAAACCAACAATCAGTGGCGGAGTTAGGGTGCTGGCGGCTGCCAGCACCGAAATTTTTGATTTCATACTATATACTCTCCTTCTAATAAAGGAAAAAGCAGTAGAAGTCGTGTCGTTTAGAAACTCCGGAGTAAAGTTGCTCTTTTGTATAAATCCGCCAGCATCAAAAATGTTTTCTAGATCAGCCACTTATTATAAACAAAAGAAACTGATGCTTTTATTGCTCAATGAACCGGTATCATAGAGAGCCAATATCGTTGAATGACACAGTTACTACACTCTAAAAAAAAAGGTATTTCAAAAAACCCTAAAAAGTATTCTCCATTTGAGAAAAACCAAAAAAAAGGTATAACCACCCGTGAAAAACGTTTAAAGGGTTTAACCATTTGAAACATATCAT